GACCCCNCCCCCCCGGTCCCCCCATGTCAAAAAAAGCCCGGTCTAGGTAGGGTTAAGTCTTTAATTTGCACTTTATCGTTTAATTGGTACTTTATGATTTTATTCATCTTTGAATTGATATTCTATGCGTTATTACAGACCATTTGCAACAATTCCCCATTCGTGATTTTTCTTTGGGGTCGATTTAGGAAATTTCTGGGATTTCGAATCTGTATTTGAATCAGCTGCTATGCTCGGTTTAGTCCCGAATCGGCGGCTGAAAGGGCGGCTACGAATCGGCGGCCCAATCGGCGGCCTACTTCAGGTTGGTCGCGGAGATGAGTCTATCCTTTTGGTGGTCGACTCCGCGGAGTACAAATATCAGTATCTGAGTGTTTAGGTGGTCAGATACTAGTAGTACCGACTGTAATACTATTATCAGATGTTATACACAACATTAACTCTTATATTCCTCTTATTCTGTAATACTGTAATACTGTTATCAGATGTTATACACAATATTAACTCTTATATTCCTCTTATTCTGTAATACTGTTACTATTATCAGATGTTATACACAATATTAACTCTTATATTCCTTTTATTCTGTAATACTGAAATACTATTATCAGATGTTATACACAATATTAACTCTTATATTCCTCTTATTCTGTAATACTGTTACTATTATCAGATGTTATACACAATATTAACTCTTATATTCCTCTTATTCTGTAATACTGAAATACTATTATCAGATGTTATACACAATATTAACTCTTATATTCCTTTTTTTCTGTATTTTAACATATGTTTAGTATCAGCATTATTACAGCAACCAAATTATTGTTTACTTGTAAAGATAAACACCAATATGTGAATAGATAAAGCAAGATCACTAGAATAAATGTATGAAATATAATATTATCGTAACGAATTATAATAATGAGCGTCAATCATTTACACTCAATGTCAAACTATAGCAAGATATTAAAAATAAGTAAAAATTCACTACTACAAAATACTTTAAACAAACATGACAAATACTGACTATTTATGACTTAAATCGACTTCAAACCTGTTTCTTAATGTTTGAAATATTAAATAAATTTCCCAGTCTCCCTGAAACCTATTATATAATAATGACACTTTTATATTGAACTCAGACATCCATAGCCATAACACAAGACAGAGAAATTATATACTGCCTATTACTGCACAATCTAATCAACGGCAATTCACATTCATGTACAGGGGACCTATAATCAGAAAAAAACACGTACGGCGGGTTGTGATCGAGGCTTTTAGGAGTCTAGAAGAGAGTGCTATTCTCCAATAGATCGTGCTTCAATGAATTTGTTGTTGAAACTACATCTATCCACTACAAAATGAACTACTAGATCTATCCACTACACAATGAACTTCATCATATATTGTTCTCAGTAAGGCCACACTGACTAAATTTCATGGATGACATCCTCTGAAGACCCCCGAAGTAGTGCGCGCGGGCGAATAAAATAATTCATCTGATTCGCAAAATGCTGCTAAACCACAGAAATACAAAGCTGGTGTTGTGAATTTGTGGCTGTACATAGCGACGTTTGGAATTCTGGAGCCCAGGCAGCCTGTCACCCAGGCAATTAACAGCCTCGGAGGAGATTTTTTTTTTTGTTCAGGTGAAAATCGATGCATGGTGTCATCCATAAAATTACATCATCAACACCATCTGGTCGTGAGAGTTTCACGGATGCTTGTGACTCTTTATAAAAATTAAATCAGATTTTATACCTCCGGGCTTTTTTATTGTATATTTTTATATAGGGTTTTCACAAAAAAATTATCGAGACCGGACACCCCTCTGTGTGAGGGGTCATATACGTGGACCAGACCGAGAATAGCTTAAACACGGCAAAGGTCAACGGTCGCGACCACTTTCATGCTCAAATGGGTGTTTTGGGGCCACCAAAAGGCACCATTTTCACGCCCGAAAACACAAATACAATAAAAACAAAAAAACATCTGCAGCCCAATAGCAAAACATATACCGAGTCTCAAAAGAATCCGTCCACCCAAACGCGAGAAACTGCTGCGAATATGAAAATCTAAATCTCTCACAAAACCCTTCCGCGGAAGGATGTCTCCTCCCCCGGAGGTAATAATTTACTACATCGAACACAGAAACGCTACCGAAAACAGAACCTCCTTCCAGGATTCAAATACGCATCTGTCGTGTGAGGATTAAGAAAGCACCAGGTGGCATGGAAAGATGGTTACAGTTGATTTGTAAGATACCGCCCTAGTCACCACCAAGTCTCCATTTGGTCCTACA